TTAACTTTTCTGTCATATAAACGACAGAAGTGGCAGAGCTGGTTTGAAAACAAACAAACAGAGATGAATAAACAGAGATTGATAAAACTTCAGTGTTAGGGTAAGTGGTGACTCCAAAATGACCGTAGGAGTTGGTGTGAGCGTGTCTCTGTGTGACACTGATGGACTGAAAACCTCTCTGGGGTGTACCCTGCCTCTTGTGCAATGACGGCTGGGATAGGCTCCAGCCCACCTACGACCCCGCTTGGAATAAGTGAGCATGAAAAATGAATGGAAGCTAGATGGATGTCTTAAAGCATATCATAAAAAAAATCACCATGGATGCTGCTGCCGGGACATTCTGCTTTGAATCATAGCACCATCCTCTGTTATGGGAAGGTCAGAACAACTGTTTATGCTGCATGTAAGATTCAAAATGAGCACATGAGGGAAAAGTCAGATTCTGTGTGCTGCCCTGCCTTACTCAAAGCTGTTGTAGAGCAAGTGAAGTGGATTCAGTTAGGTAGGAGTTTATGTCTGCTGACAGGCGTCTGCAACACATCTGACCCAGCTGGGCTTTGTCACCCTGTTCGTTTTACATTCTGACGCTGTTCCAGCCCTTATTCCGGAGATACCATAGGTGGGTATGTTTGTCCCACCAATGTGTGTTTGTTTTTGTTTTTTTTAAATGCCTTTTTGCCCTTGTACACAAAATGTGTGCCTTGATTTACATGGCAGCTTGCAGAGGCTGGTTACTGCCTGTTGTCTGCAGCTGTTTGGCTTAAGCCCCAGTGGGAACACACAGAGCAATCCTGGTAAGAAAGCCCAGCTAGGTAAAAAATAAATTAGGTAACATTCTGAGTAACGGATATTATCTACGCAATAATCAGTTCATAATCCTTTTTAGGATTTTAACAATTGGTATTTAGTCTGTCTGACAGTCTATCTGATAGATAATAGGTTTATTAGTTCATCAAATGTTCACCTGCCTAATGTGCTTTGCACTGTCTGTGTGTGTTTGTGTGTGGCAGTGATGCTGGGAAATACACATGAAAAGGGACAAAGGAAGCTTTGTTTGTGAAGTTGCACATAAAATAAAAATGACCACAGTCACTTTATTACTTATTACTAATTTCATGCTCTGTTCAGCTGTGCTGGAATGATGGCTTTTTCCCCATACTGAGGGTTTTCTCAATTTCCTGAACAAGTGAAGGCCAGTGCATTTATGCTGCTGATTTGAAAGCAAGAACATTTGATTAAATAACTCGGCTGAATTTTAAAGTGACACAATTAGCTGGTGTTTAACACAATTTAATCACTGCTGGAGTTTAAACAGTCGCTCAGTAGATATATTTATTTATCATTTCAGCATGAAAATACTTGGTTTTGGATCTCAATCAGTACAAAAGAAGAGTTAACATCTGCATTAGAAATGAATGGTTTTACATTTGGTAAGGCCTAATGGAAGTTTAGATGTCTGAGGATAGGTACACACTGTAATACGTCACTTAAATCACTTTGTATTGACTGGGTCAGATCTCAGCACTGAAAGGTGGGCAAACAGAGATTGATGAGAAGGGGACATTCTGGCTGGTTCATATCTGGCCGGGTGCTTTACCATTACTCCTTTGCTATGCACATATGATTGACAGAAGTTATTTGAACCTTCATCTTGCCAACCATTGGCTCAGCATGTATGAATTTATTGGCCACAGTGTTTCAGTGTTTCAGCCTGCGTGATAGGAAGCATCCCTTGATCTTACGGACACAATAAGCTGAATTTCTCTCAGCTATAAACTACTAATGAGATTAATTGAACCATCTAAAATAGCATAAGAAACTCTAAGGTTATGCAGTTCTATAAAAGCAAAACGTTGAAATTCTTATTCATACATTATTTGTCAGGTTTTGGAAAGGGTTGCATGATAATATATGATAGAACTTAATAAATGCCTGTGGTTTAATATACCTAAATGAATTTCCCTAACATAATGTTATTCAATCTAAAATATTTGGTTTTGAGGCTTTTTGCCTGCAGAGTGGACACAGTACAGCATTTGTTTACTTTCTACATTCAAGTAATCCGTAAAGATTTTACCACCTCAGCCAGACGTAATCCTTAAATTTTCCCAGTTTTACAATAACTCTTTAGATATTTTAATGAAAAACGGTAGGATGCGGAAAATTTTCCTCCTTTTAAAAAAGTTTGTGCTGGATGTGTTGTATTATAAAAATGTAGTTGCATTGTGTCAATGTTTTGTTTAACTTCTGCCAGTATACAGAGCACGGCACAGCAGGAGTAGTCATCTTATTCGAAACTTTCAGCTCTACTGAGCTCATGTTTGGGGTGGTATTGTTTCCTGTTGACATTGAGCGGTGTCTGGTAAGTCACATGCTTCTTTTTTTTTAAGAGGGAAAAAAAATAGTGCTTCATATTTAATGTTTTTTAACACGATTTTTTTATGATATCTAGGTCTGGCTTTTGTGTATTTAAGGAGCCAGTTTCCCTTGTTGATTTGAATAAGTAATGCATGCAAACCACACATCGCAAAACCAGAGTTGATGCAAGGAGCAGTTTCACCTGCTTGATTCATGCTGGAGTAAACAGAAGGCTTTGCACCATATAGGCTAAATTGATTTTTATTTTTATTCATGCACACAAGCGGTCAGGGACACATCTGCCTTTTGTCAACAGGTCTGTATTCATGGTGGCTTTTCTTACTCAGCTGGCAAATCTTTCCTCCTTCAAACCCTTCATCTATGCCCGAAAAGCACAGCTGTGGTTGAGCTACAGGAGTGATCCGCTTGCCCGGGGACAGTGGCAGATAAATGGGGGTTTATTTTTGACAAAGCTGTGTGACATATTGCATCATGTGTCCTTAGATTGTACTGAGCAACATCGAGGGTCGAGGGCAATACAGATTGTAAGATGAGCTTATACCTAAGTGAGCCAAAATGTAAAACATGCAAAGAGGTATTAATGCAGGAATATTAACAGATTTTGTTAATCAGGATTAGAAAAAGCAGAAGTGGTTTCTCAGCTTTACGTGCTTCACTTGTAAACATTGGTCATGTGATTAGTGCATAACACAAGACCAATGGCCACCAACCAAAATGATTTCTAAGGTTTTATTTGAGAAAGAAATGGACATGTATTACAACCCCTTATATCGATGAGGCACAATTTATTCATGACAACCACTTCCTTTGTTGTTCATTTCCGAAAGAGCCAGCATTAGTTTGGATTGGCAAATGTTTACAGTGGTGTTTTGTGGACTGAGGCTGCAGTACTTCTGCCCTTTGATCACACAGGTTCTCACCATCAGCCTCATCAGCTGGAGTCCCTCCTGGCACTGTGCTGGTGAACTCCACTTACTATAGAGTGATTAATTTCTTGCTGCTCATCTTCCGATGCTAAATAGCACTCCTCCACACAAAGGCACTCAGTTCAGAGAATCTTATTATCATGTAAATCTGCCAGCGACTCAGAAACACACACACTTTTGCATATAAACACAATCACAGATGGCATCACTCATTGTTAGACGGGGACTTTCAAGCAATGAGTATGATAATAATGGGTGAAAATCCGAATGTCATTAAGTATGGATTTATGATAGTCAACCAGCAATGGAACAAGACAAGGAGACGTCGAAAACATTGAAGATGCTTTCCATTCTAATGAAAGAGTCCTACGTAGAGGTGACTCCAGGCTGGGAGACACGAGGCCCTGACATCATTCCTGGATCATGTATCCCTGCAGCATGTGGCCATACTGGCCTTTATGGTTCCACTCTCCTGTTTGGCAGCAGTGTCTCCTCATGGTGGTTTGGAAACATTTTTTTTTTCCGTTATGAGAAAAGGACGTTGTAGTTTGTTTTTTTTCTTTGTTCTGAAATGATAAATTAAGTAAAAAAATTAAAAGAAAGATCCATATTTTGTGTGCAACCATGTCATGCATATGCATGTAAAGCATATAGTCTACTGTAAACTTTTTCTGGTTTCATTGTATTATGTTTGGTTAAGTGCCTTTTTCTTTATGAAATGCATTGTTGTTCTAAATGAGGTGGAAGTATTGAGATTAGTGGAGTGGCAGATACTGGGCTCACAAAAGGGAGTCTGTAGTGTGTCACAGGGGTTTTGGTTATTTCGTGACATGTTTGATTCTCTGTACTGACCGTGAATATTGCTGTGTTTTGGTGGATATGTACAAACTCAGATGCTTTTTCTTTTGGCCACGTTAAGTTGTAATTAGATGCCAAACTCCTGTGGGAATCGTAACAGTTATTTCTAACTTGGGGGTTGCCATTCACACCAATGCTAAACCACTGAGTTTACGTTTATGTGTAATGATTTGTGCTACAATTCAGTGTTTAGTGATGTGTATTTTCAACCTAAAGAACATGTGTGTATTTAGTTGATAAAATGATTTAGCCTTTAAATTGATCGAAATATCAGTAATATCCTAACAGCGTCATGCCTCCTCTAAATGTCCCATATCTAGATGTTTCATTACCTGATATCAGGCTAATTATATTCAAAGAGGTCACGATCTCATTTCATAAGCTCAGGTGGCCAAGTTGCTATGAAACCCAATCTTTATGGCATGTCTCATAAAATTTTATGTATTTTCCATACCAGACATATTTGCTTTTGGAAAATTCTTCATACATGACAAAACGATACTTTGTTTCATTGTGTATGTGAGGTTATCAAAGCTTTTCCACTTGAATATAGTGTTTTAGGTTTTTTCTGTTCAGTGTTATCCATCTACAATAACTCTAGCTATAAGAAAACCTTTTTACGTATGGACGCAATGTTAAACAGAGTAAATGATAAAAAGACAAAGATATAGAACCAGCTTCCAAATCAGCTCTATTTTCATGCTTTTGTGCCTTTTTATTGCGACATATAATGTAGTAAACAGAAATCCATTCCTCAGATATGCCTTTTCACACCACTTTCACTTTGACATCGAAGTTTCAATAAAGAATACCCTTGTTTTCTTTTCATTCTTTTAGGGCCTAGATGAGGAGGCAATTGTTGACCATGGAAAGAGCAGCTTCGCCACTCACACAAACTCTGAAGGGGAAGAGTTGGAAAGTATGTTGTTTTTTAATGATTTTTTCCCCCTCCCTGACCTATTTTGTTATTTTTCTCCTCTTTTATTTCATCAATGTCTAGGTTTGCCAAACCCCGTGTATGTCCCTTCTGTCTTCCCCTGTGTGTTGCATCTTGCTGGCATTTTCCCCAGCCCCTTCTCAAATCAAAGACTGATGACTCATCTGTGAAAAATGGGTATTGGCAGAGTGTGCAGGGCATAGACAGTTTTTTTTCTTTCATTTTAGTGCGCAGTTCCTTAGTCACAGCAGAAATAATGAGAAGAAGGAGAGGAAACATGAGAGGAAAAACGGAGGGGGTGAAACATTTTAATGCGGATGCCTGGTTTCCTTGAAGTGGATTTCTACAGTATTCAAAAGACAATGAAATCAGTTATTTTTATTCTGTGTTGAATCAATGTTGAGTCAATGACCAAAATATCTGTTTTTGGGCTGAAACACAACAAAGAAGTCCCTACAGTTTAATTAACAAAATGTACATATGGGCCTTCGTTATTATCTTTATTTTCTTTGTATCTGTGTATTCAATTTCTAAATCCAAGTCTCGTGATGAAGTGGAAGATCAAAGGTTCGACAGAGTACTCTGTTTTAGCTGAATATGCCAAAGTTTACCCAATAGAGTGAAGTGTGTTATCTGTAAATTGTATTTGTATTTGTAAGAAGTATTGTCATTAAATATTAAAGTGAGTTTATTTTTTTGTAGGCCACAGAGCAGTGTACGTAGGTGTCCATGTTCCCCTGGGAAGAGAGAGCAAGCGGAGGCATCGCCACAGAGGACACAGACATCACCGAAAGAAGAAAGAGAGAGACAGTGAGGATGGAAAAGAAGATGGCAGGGATTCCCCTATTAACGGTTTGAAAGATTTTTTTTTACCAATCACTGTGCTACAATGACAAAAATCACTCTCATGTTCTATCACACTGTTAAATAGGCTGAGTTTAATTTCATCCAAACTTATAAAGAACAATCACAAAATCTGTTGAGGCTGCTTAAACAAACATGCACATTTTATCACACAACAAGCATAGAAATTCTCAAGACACATAGAGAACATGTTCAGACCGGATCCCTCTGACCTGAATTGTATTAATACAGATGTGTACCACCTACTTATTAGACAAGTCTACGATTTGTTTGTTCTTCTTATTTCCAGTAAAAAACACAGAATTTATTATTTTAAAAAATCTATATGTGCAGTGACAATGAGCAAACTGCTAGAACCACATGCCCCAAAGCCTAGGATCTGTACCATCAATCCAACAAGTAACTTTTGAATGGGTTTAGCCCATTAAATCTTCTATCAATCCATCCCTCTATCTATCCATCCATTTTTAATACCCCCTAAATCAGTTCAGGACTGTGAGGGGGCTGAAGCTGTCCCAGCTGTCACCAGCCAGAGGCAGATGGAGGAGTCACCAGTCCATCAGAGCCCTGCAGAGACACACCACACAACCCTGTATACTCACTTTATGGGTGCCCTTCTGAGCATGGCACTTCTGAGAAAGAGAGAAATGGGCTCATTGCAAAGTGAACATGGGTGTTTTACAGGCTGTAAAGTTTGCCTTTATTTACTCTTCCAGTGTTTCCCAATCCGAGTCCTCAGGCAGGTGTGCTGGAGCAGGCAAACTGGGAAAACATGCAGGACTGTGGTCCTTGAGGACCAGAGTTGGGGAAAGTTAGAAAATTGTGCTTAATCTAAGATCATTTTCCCTACATTACATATTGTGCCATCAAAAATAACATTGACATCTTTAGGAAAAAAATCTCATGTGGTTCAGCTAACTGCATAAAATGCAGTCTTTATGATTATTTAAATCTGAAATAAGTCAGTAGGATTAGTTGGATTTATGTGGGGATGGATTGTATTACCTGCTGTAAACTGGTATGTGAACACCAGATTGATTCAGTGCATTGCTGCATTTGTCTTGTCCACCGTGTATGGGATGAAACTGTAAAAATAACCTGTTATGAAAATTAGTTAGAAAAAATGTGAGTACATTTAGTTTGATATGCCAAAAGTAGAAATATTTAAACAACTAAAACTGTTCACATTTCCTGACAAAAACAGTTCTTTGCTTAAGGCCTCTGTGTTTCTCCTGATAAACAAGACACGGACAGAAAAGATAGCCTTGTTCCTGCAACAAGGCACGTAATATTACATCTATATAAAACAAACATTCAACTCTAAAAGGCAATAAAGGCCACTGTTACTAAGCCTCTGACAGGTTGAAGGGAACGACATTTAAAGCAACGTGTGCGAACATCTCATGTGAGAGGTTGCATCATTAAAGCTGCAAGACACACACAGTCAATGTTATGAATTCTGTTAAAGTGTTAAATAACAACTGAAAAACACCCAAATTTCCCTTGCATTTGCATTTCATTTATTTTTTTGCAGATGTGATAATTTGGATGTAATCAAATTTAATATTAAAAGAAAAATCCCTCCTCCCAAAAGAGTTCCCAGCTTCAGGCCTTTAAGTGTATACCTCTTTGTACAGCAAATTTACGCCGGAGTTCTAACTGTTATGTTCTGCAGCTTAAAATAGGGTTAGTGTAGTTTTGTTTATTAAGTTTCCCATAGTTTTTATTTGGAATATATTTAATATTTCCACTCGGTTGACATTTTCCCATATCTTTGTGTAACTAAAGTTAGGGGAAAGTATGTTGCTATAATTGGAGCCTCACTCTAAACTTAGATCAGTAATAGTAGGACGTGTTTGACGTCAAGGCTTCATCTTGGGAGTTTTAAGACCCAGAAGTTTCTTCAATTTATTTTCGCCCGCACGATTGTAATCATTTTCTAGAGGTTTAGGACCCTGAATTGGAACCAAACTTACAGTTTTAGTGGTTTGGGAGTTGTTTTGGTAATATTGACATATGGCATATTGACATCTGACATTACCTTTTTGTACTCAGACACACCATCTCAGAGGGTACAGTTCATCCTGGGAACAGAGGATGATGACCTCGAGCACATCCCACATGACCTCTTCACCGAGCTGGACGAGCTCTCCTTCAGAGATGGCCGTGCCACTGAGTGGAGAGAAACAGCCAGGTCAGAAAAGCCACAGAAGGAGTGAAAAGCATGACCGAAACGACAGAAAGTAAACGAAAAACACAACCCCTTAAGGGATAGGTTTTTTAACGTTTTTTAAGTTGTTGGGGTGGGACTTGATGTCCACCTGACAGGGCACCATACTATGTGCACAGATTTGTCAGCATATTGAACATTTTAAAGATCTAAATATGTTAATTTTAAATGTTGGAAAATGTACAGAATAATACATTTGTAGGAGTTTGTCTAAATCACTGAAGTTCTGTCTTATAGCTCTCTTTACTGTAGCTTTCTGAATACGAAGCATCCTGAAATGTTGCTCTTGCTATCAGATCCTAGCTGGACATCTAAAGAGACAAAACCAAGGATCATACTCAGCTGCAGTTCATAAATCCTAAACAGTGTTTTTTTTTGCCTTGCCTCTGGAATCTGAAATGGTAATTGTGACCTTAGTTGTCTGGCATTTCAGGGATTGTTTTCTCATGCAGAGAACATGGGTAATATGCAGACAGATTTCTGGGTATTAGTCAGTCAGTTTGCAGAGCTGCTGCTAATCTATGTGCCCTGAAAAAAAAGATTTTGTCAAAGGAGAAAAATTTAGCTGGTCTGCTGCGGGAAGAGTAATGCCTTCTTGGACAGATTTAAGACCTTTTTTATCCATCTATTTAAGCAAATTAAAAATGTATCATGGATTTTTTAGATGGTTGAAATTTGAAGAGGATGTGGAAGATGGTGGAGAGAGATGGAGTAAGCCGTATGTGGCCACGCTGTCACTACACAGCTTATTTGAACTGCGTAGCTGCATACTGAATGGCACAGTCATGCTGGATATGAGGGCCAACAGTATTGAGGACATTGCCGGTAAGTTTGACAATATTCTAGTCTTTTTAAAGACATGCAATATTCTCTTATACATTTGCCCTACATCTGAAGTAGTACTGACAGTATGGAGTACAGAAAATGAATGCTTACTATGTTGACAGTGTTGTGCTGCTCTGTTTGTGTGACTCAGACATGTTGATAGACAGCATGGTGGCGTCAGGCCAGCTCAACGAGGATTTGCGCGAAAAGGTGCGAGAAGCCATGTTGAAGAAACATCACCATCAGAATGAGCGAAAGCTCAGCAATCGCATCCCTCTGGTGCGCTCCATTGCTGACATAGGCAAGAAACATTCTGACCCACTCTTGCTTGACAGAAACGGTGAGATCATACAACGCACTCACATTTCTTTTTCCTCCATCCGTTCTACCACCGGGGAACTGTTCTTAAAAACCCACTGTTCAAATCCCTTACTGCCAGCGTAGGAGGTGGATGGTAAATGTGAGTAAAATTTGGAGAACAATCTCAGTCCCCTTTACTGGAAGAGAAATTTGGGTGCTAATTTATGTGCTAACCTGGATGGCTGGCCTGGCTTTGGGGTTTGAATCAACAGTTGTTTTTGCTCTTCATGGTAGCATTTGGAAAACAATGCTTCACCTGCAACAGGAGGAATCTGTGGATTTTTCATTTATTTATTTTATACTAATTAATATGTTTATTTGTTTCTTAATTTGCTCATTCCTGAGTGGGCATGATAAAAGAGGTGCTAGTGTCTGGTGTGCTTTGGAGGATTCTGGGTGTACAGCCTGAGTTTGAAAAATGAATGAGTGGTCACATTACGCACTTCTTTGCCTGGTTTGTTGTTGTGCTGGCATTTTCATATCATTAAACTGCTAATGCACAGGTAACAATGACGTGTGCCTCAGTGGAAGTTGGTAGTGGCATTGGTTGCAGTATGAAAGATGGATGACCAATTGAACACGTGATGTGTAGTATCTATGGCTGGTTTGTTTGTGGCGGAGGCACTTCTTGCTTACAGTGCACTGGCATCATGCTAACTCATTTTCTCTGGCATGCAAACCTCTCAGCTTAGAGTTTTGCCTTCTTCAGTCGCAGTTTGTGATTGGTTTGTTAGGAGTTGAACAAAATGCAACATTTGTCCCTCGCAGACCCTCCCACATGCCTCACGATTCATTTTTGGTGTCCTCTGTGCACAGCTATGCTTATGCGAGCACCAAACTCTAATTACAGCTCTGCCACGCTCTTGCTGCCCATCCTTTTTCGCTTTCTCTCTTTTATGAATCATCCTTGTAATTTACCTCTACTTCATGTGTTTACCCTCTCTGCTCCATCCCTTATTCCTCTATCCTCTCCTTACCCTCCTTCTATCTCTTCCTTCTCTTGTCCTTTTTTGCCATTGTCTCCTGTGTTAGGAGAGGGCCTGTCTTCCTCACGTCTCTCTCTCCACAAGCCAGGGTCAGCCCCCTCTGTCTCCAGCCTGTCCCAGAGGCGAGAGTCAAGAGTCTCCGTCCTGCTCAACTACCTCCTGCCCTCTTCCTCCTACAGCACTGGCCTATCCCCAGGCCTCACCACCCCTCAAAATACCCCTTCATCATTTCGCCGTCCCTCTCAGAGCCCTTCACAAAGCCATCGCACTGGCTTCGGTCCTCAAGGAATCCCAGAGGTGGTGGTATCTCCTCCTGAGGACGATGACCCACCAAACTCTGCAGAGGAGGATACAGTATCACCACAGCTCAGCCGGCGAGCATCCTCAACACCCCAGAACCTTGAGCTGCTGCCCTTAGAAGGCAAATATCAGTTTAGCCTGCCAGTGTGAGTCACTGCTTGAACAGAGAACACTAGCACTAGCATGAAAGCTCTGCAGCCCTGTTAACCTCCAACCTTGTGCTCATCTCATGACAAACTTACAGCAAGGCTCACTTGCTAAAATGCTGTATTTATGCTACACATTTTTAACATTATTTCCTGTGTTTCTGCTTGTTTGACCGCCCTATTTGCTTCCGCTACAGCAGCCTGTTCCACTGTGAACTCCTCTGCTTTGTCCCATTCGGATGCCTCTTCTCATTTTGACACATTCCTCACTATCTAGTCCTTGCTTGGCCACGTTCCACCTTTACACTTGCACTAGTGCTGTTGCATGGCTACCAATGTTTTGCTCCCTTTCTCCCAGACTGTATTATTGTGTTTTTCCTTCACAGTCAGCGTAACTTATTTTATAGTGGTTCTCAGTCTTTCTTTTGAAAATAGGGACCATGACATTTTTAATTTTTTTGCTTTTAATTACTGGTTTATTCCATCATGCGTGTCTATCAATCCTGATTTGACAGGATGAACCTCAATTATAAGAAACATTCTGAAAACATTAAAAGTAAAAAAAACAGTTTAACGTGTTGATATATTTATCAAGAAAGTGTCAGATATGTCACTTTTGTTTAACCATTTCTGCAACACAGTGTCATGGATAATTAGCTAATCAAAATGAATAATGTTTCACACTTTATGTAACCCAGAGTGGTTTAAGTTGTCCAAATTCTTCAAGTTAGGGTATTACTTGGATCTTTTTATTTATTGTCCTCAATTTCTGTTCGCTAACTTTGAGGACTGTTAAGAAAAGATTTATTATTTTTAGTGATTGCAGCCAGATATAGAAAGTCTTTCTATGTGATATATAGACTTATTATAGACTTCTCCACGTTGAGTTCACACAGATGTAAATGTCATTCAATTATTACATTTCCCATTGCATCATTTAGTGCCCACTTTCATGCTTTTCATCAGCTCTTAAGAATAAACATTCTTTTACCCGATTAAAGCAGTAGTGACAGCAATCTATGCCATCAGTGTGGCCAATTATAGGGCTGAGACAAGAGCTGGTGTGTTGGTACTGTATGTTCTACCACATTGGCACCTACAGTGACGTTTTGTTCTTCCCAAAGCAAGTTGAGTGACTTTATAATTAGACACTGTGTGCGTGCGTGTGCATGCGTCTGTGTTTGTTTCCTTCTGGGAACAGATCCATTTCAAAGCATGGGCCGTTAATAACCCGCATTCACTTGGTGGGAATCTGAAAGGTTGCAGTGGTCTTTTTATAGCCAACAAGCCTTTGTAATTGTACCCTACTTCTAAAAAATACACAACATATTGACATTTTATTAGGGTTTATTCAGTTCAAACCTCGTAAGTTGATATTATCTCCTATGGCCGAAGCAGATCTGTTCAACACTGTTGGCTAAGTGCAGCAACTGCATTTTATAATTCTGTTAGAATAAAGAGCTTTCATTATGGGGATGTTTAGCTGACTATATGCTGGTGAGCCGTTTCATTAATTCTACATACATCATCTCTAGTTGGTCCATAAAGGTCAGAGCTGAGTCATGAAGTTCTGATGTGATCACCTACAGAGGAAGGTGGCCATTTTGTAATGAATCATTACTTATTTTTTCCCCATGTGGGCAGTCTGGGAAGTTATTTATTGTGTTTTACATGGGAAAGAGTAAAAGCAGGAGAAGTCTGTCTGATCAACATGGTAATCTTGCTTCAGGTATAACATGAAAATCCTGTCATGAACACAGCATTGTTTTTTGACGCATGTCCTATTCAGCTTTTTTAGGAGTTAAGAGAAATGGACTGACACTATGATTGATTTATTATTGTAGATCATAATACGGTGTGTATACATGTATCATGATCTCCCACAGAAGGTTAAAAGCAACAGAATGGCTTTGATCATTTCTTATATTTTACAATGGCATACATATTTCAGTTACACTATTTCCATTCCATGTATGTACACTACAAAAAGGTCAGTAGCCTTGGTAATCTCTACAGATGCTCTTTTCCAGTTAAACATTTTTTAAAAGCATTACTATGGCATGATACACTTCAGAAGGATTTCTCTCTCGCTGGAAACCCAGGGTTACTAGGCTCGTAAATCTGCATCATGTCAGTTATTATGTTAATCTTTTGTATAAAAGTGAAGTACCCCAGTGACGCCACATGTTCGGAGGGTCACATGGGGGAGCATTCCATGGCTTAGTCACATTGAATGAAATGTATTGGCAAGCAAAACCAATGCTAATCCCTTCCATATTCCTAAGGCTTTTGTTTGGTGTGTGAGCAATCAGGCTCTTGTTCAACAATCACAGCTTCCCAGTATCTACTAGGGTCACTCCACAATACGGTTCAAGGGTATGGATCACTGGCCAAACAATATGCCAAAGGTTATATTCAATCTTGATAGTTAAAATTGGGAAGAAGAAAAGGAAACCCGGTAAAAGAAGTGTTACTGCAGAAATTCAGAGGATAGTGAGTTTACGCTATCCTTTGATCCAAATGCATTTTTTTCTCATTTCATCTCCCTTTTTCATGTCACCACAAGTGCTAGCGTTTCCTGTATCTGGTTTGGCTCAAATCACATCAGGAATACTACAGTGTGCAGCCAATTATGCTCAGAAATAAAGTAAGGTTGGGTTTCAGGAATACGAAAAACATCCACCCATCTCAAGCTCAAAGATTAAGAGTTCGGGCTAAGCAGGACTGAGCAATGAGCTCAAAAGGCAGATAGCAATTAAAAACGGTGCTGTTTGAACGATAGTATCCTCACAATGGAGAGCCATCGCAGTATTGCAGATACCTTTAGCTATTAAGCAATGAATCTGTTAATTATCACATGCTGCAAGAAATGTTATATTCAGCTGTTTCAAGCCTGATAATAATTAGTTATTTTGATCTTGTTGTGGTTTTGTACAGAAAAGTACTTCCAGATATTTATGTTGTTGAAATTAAACTTAATTTTCAAACCATGGGCTATTTATCTTCGTTAAAACAATGTGGATTGGAAAACTAGATGCAAGAATTGGAAACTTTAAATGAAATTTACGTGAACTGCTTCTTAGTCTCCCAAGTAAGATGCATTCATCACTGAAAACTGCAGTTAATCCTCAGCTAAAGCGACTAAAAGTCATGACTGTTTGACTAACACCAATACAAATTGTAATTTTCATCATAGGCGTCTGTTGGCAGCACAGTGATTTAGTTTGAATTAGTTTATTTGCCTTTATCATTTTGTTTTCCATTTTAGAAGGAAAGCCTTTGAAATTGCCCGAGCTCATGGTATGAGACTATTTTTATATACGTTAGATGGTATGATAAAGAAAAATAGGGGGGAAAAGAGTTCAATACCAGAAGTATTCTACCCATTTTTGGTAATAACCTCTGAAGTGCATCACTCACACTGTGCCCATTACTGCTGTCCTATTTCCTTTAGGACCACTGATGCCTCATAACTCTGCTCCAAGCAACCTGGATGGCAACAAGACAATGGAAAGGAGGCCTTCTAAAGTAGGGGTCAGTAGAGAAGGCAGCAGTGTGGACTTCAGCAAGGTAACCTAACCACATACTGAGCACAGACAGTCCATCATGGTGGAAAGGCCCATCACCAAAATCATCAGTGTTTTTTTTTTTCAGTGTTTTTCTTCAGTTTCGGGCTTTCTTCAGTTTTTCTTCAGTTTTGTGTGGGCTTACAGTCATCATCTCATTCTCACCAGACCCATTTCTTCTAGTTCTCCTTAAGGCATCTATAGTAGCTTCCACAATGGGGGGAAAAAAAGTCTGCAGTTGTTTAGTTATGAAAGTCCACCTCCACTGCAGCTCTTACATTCGCCCCACCATTTTGTGGTGGATCATGCATGAATTAAATGGGATGCCATAAGTTGGTGTTATAAAACCAACCATTATGCTTGCCAAAAAACAAGATGTTGTGTGTACATGACTCATAGGATACATAGGGCTAAAGGCAAATTTGTTGCTGCATAGTGGTGAAAGCAACAAGAAACTGGACGATCTTTGCTCAGTATGAGCTAGGTCTACTTGTGGTTAGTAGTTTGCCTTATCTTTGCTTCCATCCATGTTTTGTTTTTTCTTCTCATGCACATATATCTGTTGAGCATGTCAAAACTCCCAGGTCTTTGTCCTTTGTCTTTTTTTATTGTCTCTGTGTATATGACCCTGCAATTTCATTGATTTCAGGTGGACATGAATTTCATGAAAAAGATTCCTCCGGGTGCTGAGGCCTCAAATGTGTTAGTGGGAGAGGTGGACTTCCTGGAGAAGCCCATAATTGCGTTTGTGCGATTGTCACCAGCAGTCCTTATCACAGGCCTCACTGAGGTGCCTGTGCCCACAAGGTACAATAATCCCATACAACATGGTTCTTACTTCTAAAGTTAAACATCCAGTAAAAGTCATTATCTTAAGTTACAGACTGACAATGTTATAGGCAAACTGATCGCGTAATTTTTCATAATCTCACGAGTATAACCTTGTGATATTTAGTGTTTCTGACCGTTTCTGTCTGGTCAACAAGTTTGACCTTTAATTAACCAGGAAGTCAGAACTAGAAACTAAAAGCTCTTTAAGTGTTTTGGCCAAGACCGAGAGCAACAGAGGTCAGGAAGAATGATCAACGCATAAAACCAATGTAAATTAATAACTTCAAGCCAAATGGGTGGAACTATTTCTGTTTCAGCATTTATTGATTTCTTTCTTTTTAATTTGACACAATGTTTCAGTGGCTCCAATTACTTAAACATGGTGGTCCCAACTCCTCACAAGAGCAGCTCAAATCGCTGACCCAGCAAGGTGGTGCCACAGTACAAGTGTTCTTTGAAAGCTGGAAGCAGTTCTTTTTCAACCGAAAAAGAAAGAAGTTAGCTTTCATTAGACTCTCTCTGACTTATAGCTAAATAGGTTAGCTAAAAAGCCTCACTGGTGTTAGCTCATAGATACTATGCTGTTGTCATGTGTGATGTTGTGAGTGCCTCTAATAAATCAGCATCTTTTTCAAAGGTTTCTTTTCCTCCTTTTGGGCCCTCGCGGTAAAGGACCACAATACCATGAGATTGGCAGATCAATGGCAACACTAATGACAGATGAGGTGCGTAATTCTTCTTTTTCTTTTACTGACCGTTTCATCTTAGATTATTCAAAAATGCCCCCAAAAATTGTGTTGCACATTTTTCAGTTTAAGCAGCTTTTTGATGTGGAAGTGATTTAATTTGCAGCGGTGTCTTCTGAGCAATTTAATATATTACATGAGAGATATAATTCCTTTGCTTGTTTCTCATCTAGATTTTCCATGATGTGGCATACAAGGCCAAAGACCGAACTGATCTGCTCTCTGGGATAGATGAGTTCCTCGATCAAGTAACTGTTCTTCCACCTGGAGAATGGGACCCCACAATCCGAATTGAACCTCCGAAGAATGTCCCCTCTCAGGTTAGTCAAACTGTTCACTTGTTTTACAAGTCATGGTTCACAACTCAAATCTCAAAAGATAACTCAAAAGTTTTGTTCACTTAATTGTAGTGTTTTCCTCACCTTGAAACACTCAAATGCTTAGAAATTAAATTTGACACAAAAGTTTAAGCATTGTGAAAGAAAAGTTATAAAAATAAATGCAAACATAATTTACATAATTTTCTTTCGGCTTGTAGTTAAAGAGAAAGATACCTTCTCATCCCAATGGCACTGCCTCTCCAGCTGGTGAGCTGGAAAAAGATGAGGACCACCATGTGGGGCCCGAGCTGCAGAGAACTGGGAGGTGAGTATGTTTCACGAGCAGTCCCATGACACACAATTTACGTCCAGAAATGCTTATTATTGGTAACTTACTGCATTAATGTTTGTCTCATCTGTGTAAGCATTAGGAGTTTGTTGATGTGCTTTGACTGTTATAGCTTATCCAAACTGAATTACAACTAAAGAAGCTTTGTTTAGAAAAATGAGTCTGAGAAGAAAGTTCACCTTGGAGTTCTTATTTTAGCCTGTTTAGGTGATACTTGGGTCATCCGAAGTATGTTTCCTTTACTGCAGACTGCAGAAGTGTCAGCTCTGTAAACAGCTCTGAGTTAATACCTTTTATGTTCCATTCTGCGACGTTGCTCCTCTATCAATAAGTTCTACTTGAATCTGAACTATATTAAAGGTTACGTTTTATAAACTCAACACCATAGAGTGATTGAACAGACAAGTAGCAGTACACTCTGCAGCACAAATGCTGACATTTATGGATAACGGATGCTGAGTTTCTTGAGCCAGAGCCACACAGCAAGGGGACTGTGTTTATTTGAAATCTCAAGCTGAAACACACATACAGTCCATGCACACACATATAAACACACATCTATTGGAGGCACTATTATTTACAGAATCACTCTTCTTTTCATCGTTACTATAAAAGGTTAGTCCTATGAGGGAGCTAAAGGGAGACACATGGGTGAAAGGGAGTGCAGTAATTAAATGTAGGAAGATATATCAAATACATGAGCTCAAAAAAGAGACAGCGGGGGGTGTGAAGGCAGGCAACAATGGTTGTTCCAGAGGTGTGGCGAAAAGAAATGAAAGCGCCTCACAGCAGAACTATTGGGCAGGTGTCACTGGAAAGAAAAGTCCATGTACCAAGTGAAAAGTGGATGTCAGAAATGGAATTCCTCAAAGGCAAAGTGAAAAAAGCAGAGATGCTGGACGACTTAGTCATTTTGGGAATTTTGTAGTGTTCCACAAACCTTGCTGTGATCATTTGTACAACTATAGTAATACAAAGAACATAAAATCGAAATGTCACGCAGTAAACTTCAACAGTGGAGCTATACAGGCCTATTGGCTCTGCTTTTGCAGCATGTTGGTGCACACAGACAGCTGTTTTTACAAGTTTTTTCTACTTTTCTCATTCCTTCCATACGGTATTCTGAGGTATGAAGGGAACAATGTCTGTTTAAAAAGTGTCTCCTTTTGTTCTGTAATGATATAATGCAGTGTTGCTGGGTGTTCCAAACTCTGTTTACCTCTCTCCTCCTCCAGGATATGTGGAGGTTTGATCCAAGATGTCAAGCGTAAAGCACCTTTCTACTGGAGTGACATAAAGGACTCGTTCAGTCTGCAGTGTTTAGCTTCTGTCCTCTTCCTCTATTGCGCCTGCATGTCCCCCGTCATCACATTTGGAGGTCTTCTTGGAGAGGCAACAAAAGGCAACATAGTGAGTCATAAAGCTTTGCATTTAGAAGTTAGTATTTGTGCTTCTCAAGATGCTACTGGGACTAAAACCCTGAAACTTAGGGTGTTTATGGACAGACTTTTTTCTCTCAATATTTTCCTTCTGAGCATACTGTTATTTGCAAGTGATCCAATCTAATTTGTGAGTCCAGAAACAAACTTTCTGCAGGTGTTGATGTGGTCTCTTTACTGTTGATGTTGTCTCCCGTCTGGCACTGACTGAGCAGAAGCTTCCCTGTTAAAGTGCCAGACACTTCATTTTAGTCCATGCACACGTCATTCTGCATTGAGTTCCAGTCAACACTACTTTTATTTTATTCTTTGATGCCATGAAAACAGCCCTAGTCTTGCATAATCTGTAATTACCAGTTATCTTGTCACTTTTTTATATTCTCAGACTAAGGGGATTCTTCCTTACCTCTCTTTTCTCCTTCAGCCTTTCCCTTTCAGTCCTCCATATTGTACTTTGATCTTCCCTTGTTTTCCCCATGACTCCATCCCTCTTCTCTTTCTTCCCAGAGTGCAATAGAGTCTCTCTTCGGAGCATCAATGACAGGAGTGGCGTACTCCCTCTTTGCAGGCCAGCCCCTCACTATTCTTGGCAGCACAGGGCCTGTTTTAGTCTTTGAGAAGATCCTCTTTAAATTCTGCAAGTGAGTTTAAGATGGATTTCTTTTGTTTAACCTGACAACTTCCTGCATTTTACAAGGTTTCTGATCATTGTTTTTTTTTTCTTTCACAGGGACTACAGTTTGTCTTACCTATCGCTGAGGACCAGCATCGGGCTATGGACGGCCTTTCTCTGCCTTGTTCTGGTGGCCACAGACGCGAGCTCACTGGTCTGCTACATCACCCGTTTCACAGAGGAGGCCTTTGCGGCGCTCATCTGTATAATCTTCATCTATGAGGCTCTGGAGAAGCTATTTCACCTTGGAGAATTCTATCCTGTGAATATGCACAACGATTTGGACAATCTTACCCTCTATTCGTGAGTAGCGATATCATTTATTTGCCTTTTAAGGTTGGTCCATATATTTTATGAGTTGGTGTAAAGTGTTGACTTTTCAGAAATGTCTTAACCGGACAAAAAAATTAGATTAGTGATACAATAGCTTTATGATTTTTCATCAGAATGTGACGTCAGGTAAGGTCAACGTCAACAGGTTACATTCTATGAATGGCTTTGGACATATATGGTTTTTGATTAAGAGCAGGTTGAATGCTGTGACATAATGGGCCAGACTTTGCCTCTCATCAGCTCTCTTGTGTCCAGGTGCCAGTGCTCTCCGCCCACGAATGTAACCGATCAGCTCCTGCAGCAGTGGAACCAGACGGGTTACACCAGCTCCGACTCCATCCCATGGAACAGCCTCAACGTTCCGGTGAGACGAGCTCTGACTGACCTCTACTGTACTTCTCAGTAACTGCAGCTTCATGTGTGGAGCAAACTGAGATTAACATCCCGTGTCCCACTCTAAGGCTCACGATCTTTCAATAACCACACTCACTGAATGATGAACTAAATGTTTTTCCTTTGCCAAAGAAATGACAGATGACTTCTCAAAAGAGAGTTGAGGGAGTAGCTCAGGGGTCCATTAGACAACCTATAACTCTCTGATATTGACCCAAACCATCAGAATGTCAGTCACATGCCATTGCTAAATCCAGCATGAACTGAAAATTAAATCTAACATGGAGACTGTTCAGCCAAAGAACATTTTTATTCTGTGGATGAAAGACTTCCTGCTGCGTTCACTTAAGATTGACGTGAAGGTGGCCTAATGTGATGCAGGACTGAGCTCTGCATCACAGGACGCAATGTTGCTGAGATATGAGTGTGTACTCTCCGACAATTACATCTGAGATGATCCTTTATATCAGAAGTAGGATGTTCAATGTTTGCTGATTTTACCAGGTTTGAAATGTAGTGTTTAACTAGTCTTTAATGAAAAGATTTTAAATTACTCTGTTTGCTCCGGTAATTGCTGGTAAAGTCAGTGGCAGTAAAAAAAAAAAGGTTAGTTAGGAAAAGAATAACAAATGACACTTGTATTGTTCCAGGTCATTTAATGGATAATTTACCTTTTTGCAAATGCTTAATTCCTAGCCATTGCAGACAAATGATTAAGAATCTATGACAGTTGAAAGAGGCTGCTCTTAAGACTGCGTGGGGATTTGCACAGATGGTGCTCGGGCAGTGGCTGGGGAATGAGGCGAGCTGCAAGCGTTTTCCCCCGGTGTGCAGTGCAAACACAGTTTGATACAATGAGAGGCGCTGCTGTCTAAACAGCTGAGTCCCAAGCTGAAGGTTGTAATGACAGACATGATAGCAACAGGAAATTACATCAAAACAACACCCATTCAAAGAGGAGGAAATTGGATCTGTTCCGCATCAAGTCCCAATGGCTGTCAGTTAGGAAGTTTATTTTAGGAACTTCGAAAAACAGAATGAGAGGAGACGCAGAGCGACAGTGTGATGAATCTCAGTGTAAGTTAGACTTCAGAGGAAAACAGGAGATATGGCAGAAATTCTGCATGTTTGAGAGCTTAAAATGGCTTCAGATGAAGTTACTGAGCGTATTGATCTCATGGAGAGTGCACTGTGTTCCTAAAAGAAATTAGGAACACAAAGTCAAGAAAAGGGACATTTTTTTGTAAAGCACATTTTATGTACAAGACAATTGAAAGTGCTTCACAAAGAATTTAAAAGCCCCAAAAAACAAAGAAAGAAAAAGAATCAACAAAATAAATTAGATAGATAAGTGAAGGGTGCAGATAAATTACATTCAATTCCCATATGCCCAGTTAAACAGAACCGTTTTCAGCATGGATTTAAACATTGTCAGAGTTGTGGCCTGTCTCACGTCTTCAGGAAGACTGTTCCCGATTTTAGGAGCATGGAGCTGAAATGAAGCTTCACCTTGCTTAGTTCTGACTCTGGGCACCATCTTTAGACCAGAATCTGAGGTTCTCAGAGTCCCAACTGGTTCATACGGCTCTAACATGTCAGAAAGGTATTTCGGTGCTTACCCTTGAAGAAACTTGTACACAAGCAGAGCTGTTTTAAAAAATACAAACACTCCTCAAACAACTGCTCCTTCCTGCTATGACCACAGCTGAGCTGCCAGCACAGCAAATGAAACCGTCCCATTATAACAGCCATTTTTCCCTCTTTCTTCATTCAGATGTGTAAAATGCTCCAGGGGGAATTTGTGGGTCCAGCCTGTGGTCACCATGGGCCCTATATCCCAGATGTTCTCTTTTGGTCCATTATCCTCTTCTTCACCACCTTCTTTTTGTCCACATTCCTAAAGCAGTTTAAGACAGAAAGATACTTCCCAACCAAGGTGAGATGTCGGAGCACATTTGTTTGTGGTATGCCATTGCTAAGAGCAGGTAGTGGGGGCTTTAAATCTGAACTTACATGAATGATTGTTGCTGGGTAGAAAATATGCACACATCAGAAATATACCACCAGAATAGGATCTATCGATCCGTGATAAAGAAGTGTGGGTGGATGTATCAAAAGGCCTCCTGTGCACTGTAAATATGTACTTCTTCGTGATAGTCATTAGTATGCAAGAACAGCCTGAAAGAGAAGAGTGTCTTGCATCCTTCCACACTGTACCAGCAGACCTGTCGTTAGGTGGTGTGGGCAGATGTTAGAATTGTTTATATTGTTATTTGACTACGTTACTTTAGTGGCTCTCAACAGGGGTGCAAGAAAAAATGTGATTGGAAAAATAAAGCAACTTCTTGCTTTATTTTTCTGTGTTTTCTTTATCAGAATTTTCTTTCCATTCATACATTATTAATGTCCTTTTTTTTTACTCGTGTGTTTCTGTGTGTTCGTTGTGTGTAGGTGCGTTCCACTATCAGTGATTTTGCTGTGTTCATAACCATTATGATCATGGTGCTAGTGGACTATCTGATGGGCATCCCCTCTCCCAAACTGAATGTCCCTGACCGCTTTGAAGTAAGTGTATATTCCAATATGCGATAATGCATTATTGCTCAAATGACACATTCAACGACACATCACATACATAACAAATGTTTTTTATGCTTTCCATACCAATATCAGCCAACACTTTTTTTTCCCCCTGCAGCCGACTTCAAAGAACAGAGGCTGGCTGATGGATCCACTGGGAGACAATCCCTGGTGGACGCTGCTGGTGGCGGCACTTCCTGCTTTACTCTGCACCATCCTCATTTTTATGGACCAGCAGATTACTGCAGTCATCATTAACCGCAAAGAGCACAAGCTAAAGGTCAGACTTTTCTCTGGAAATTTTCTGGGAAATTTCCCCTAGCTGTACAAAGTGTTTAAGTGCATAAAGTAAAGTGCTTAGTGAGGCAATTTTTTTTATGGTGGTTTTGCGGCAACTGAGAATATTTATAAAATGTCCAGAAAGACAATTCAATGATTAAATATTCCAACTGATCCCAAACTTATTAACCTCATTTTGAATTTCTTTATCATCTCTCAAACCTTTGTCTTACAGAAAGGCTGTGGTTATCACCTGGATCTGCTGGTTGTGGCTGTGATGCTGGGTGTGTGCTCCATTATGGGCCTGCCTTGGTTCGTAGCTGCCACTGTCCTCTCCATTTCCCACGTCAACAGCCTGAAGGTGGAGTCTGGCTGCTCCGCACCAGGGGAACAGCCCAAGTTTCTGGGAATCCTGGAGCAGAGGGTCACGGGTTTTATGATCTTTGTCCTCATGGGTTGCTCTGTTTTCATGACATCAGTACTGAAGGTAAGATGGGTCAAGCGAGGGCTGCAGCAATCCCACCTTTCTGAACCACTCTTGTGAATGATAACTATCTGTTCCACAGCACACTCTCACCTGTCAGTGTTCTTACACATGGTTTTAGTTTTCTGGGTTTAAATTGGAGGAAAAATGCCACATTTTTGTATCGTTTGATGCAAGCTTGCTCATTTACACTTGTTTTGATGCTGTTTCTTTTCTGCTCTCATAGTTTATTCCCATGCCTGTTCTGTATGGAGTGTTTCTCTATATGGGCGTTTCATCCCTCAAAGGCATTCAAGTAAGACTCCTCTCTGCTATCCTTTGAAGATAAAATGCCATTTAAATCAAAGCAGAAAGCAACAATAAATGAACATTTTTAATCTCAGAACCTTTGTTAGTAATTCAGAGTCCTTAACGGTGTTTTTTAAATTAGTTTCCCCACATGAATAGCATTGTATGTCCCCCCTGTTCTTTCTAATCCCCTTTATACATGCCCCTTTTTCTTTTCCATAGTTCTTTGACAGAATCAAACTGTTTGTCATGCCTGCCAAACACCAGCCGGACTTGATTTATTTGCGCTACGTGCCACTCTGGAAGGTCCACGTCTTTACCCTGGTGCAGCTAACCTGTCTGGTTCTGCTCTGGGTGATCAAGGCCTCTTCAGCAGCTGTTGTGTTCCCCATGATGGTACTAGATGGAACTATTGGTCATCAAAACAGGTTGAATTTTATTTTTTTTAATGGTGTGTTTCAGTGTTTATTCTGTGTCTGCATGTCCAGGTTCTGGCACTTGTGTTTGTGCGAAAGCTTCTAGACTTCTTCTTTACCAAGAGAGAGTTGAGCTGGCTGGACGATATCATGCCAGAAAGCAAAAAGAAGAAGGAGGACGACAAGAAAAAGAAGGCACGTGAAAAGCTGGTAAAACTCAACTCTTTCCATTTCTGTCTGTCCTTAATAAGAATTTTCACGGTTTTAAACCGCTTATACATGTGCTATAATAATATATCCAAAACAAAATCATTTTCCAATTTTTATTTTATAATTCATCATTTAAAATGTCTTTTACACAAAACAAAAAAAAAAGTTAAACCAATGATCTAGAGTTTATTTTTACTGGTTGTGAAACTGCATTATGTCCTGGTCTGACTTCTAATGAGTCATTTTACCAGAGCACAAGGCAGAGTTGTTCATATTGCTTTTTGTGTACCATAAACGTGGAGTTCATCAAACTTTGCAATGGAGTCAGGATTCTGAATTTTGTTGTAATAACTAGTTTGCGGTGTCTGTTTTCATGCAGGAGCAAGAGTCCAGACAGCAGGAGGAAGAGGAGATGGGACTAAAGGTCAGCTTTGAGGACTCAAACCTTCTCAACATCCCAGTGAAAACACTCTCAGGGAGGTGAGTAGAGCCCTTAAAAATAACGCCCCCAATGAAATAAAACGATAGAATTAAAAGCTTCATCTTACTGCTTAATATTTATTTTACTTTCATTTGAACTGTATCACTGCAAACTTCTCAATTACCATGATTACAGTTAATTATTTTATGGTCTACAGGCTTAATTCATTTTTAATGACTGTAAATGATTCGGTAAACAACTAAAAACAATTAAAAAGGTCCCAGTAGTGTCAACTTCCTCTTTAATAGTGAAGGTTAAGTGCTCCACATGACTTCTCCAGAACTAGATTTTCTGATGCATCATTTTGTCTTGTACAACTTTAAATGGAATTGTGGACAGCTGTGTGTTGTTCTGCCATCTTGAACAGATCGTACAGAATAGGAGTAGTGACCCACAGCCTCCCTGGGGATAAAGAGGTAGCAGGGCTGTGTGTCTGATGGAAAACATCTGACCCACACGGCTGCATATTAACTCTTCTTACCTGTACTCAGACAGTTGGAGCATGGCCTGAACTGTCACCCCTTGGTGGCTAAAAAACAGAAACATTACCTATAAAACACACTGTTTTATGTGTCTGTGGTTTCTTTGAGGTAGATACTTTTGTCTGACTTACTAATGCGGGAGCAGTCAGCTCTCATCAAATGTTTAGTTTAAAATCCTAATATGTGTTAACATTCTGTTTTAATCCATTTTATGTGCATGTTTGTGTCTGACGATTTGTCCTGTCTCCCACTCATTTGATGTCTATATGCCTGTCTTCTCTTTGTTTTTTTGTTTGTTTTTTTGCATTTTGGCATGTAGTTCTGATTCTGACCCTTTGGTTGTAAATATCACTGATGAAATGGCCAAAACAGCAGCGTGGAAAGCAGTGAACGCGAGTGCAGAGTCTTGTATCCAACCTGTGAAGCGTAGTGGAAGGTAGCTATACGTGGAGTTTCCCACAGCCCCTGAACAACCCCCCCTCCCCACAGGGCCATGTTCTCATGGTCTGTGGGAGACCATCAAAACCCAGTCTCATTCTGGGACTTTCATACAGTTTTATTAAGTTACAAATAATTTGAAGTCAAACATGTAAACCAAACTGAATTGGTCTAGTGTTTTTTTATTAGTATATAAAGGTCCATTGAAACCTTTTGGGTCTAAATTTACAATTTACAAAATTACAACAGGGGGTTCATTGTTCATTCCCTCTACATTCTTCCATTCTTCATTTCAGTATGGTTATATTACAGTTTTATACATTTTAATGCTAAATGTATTCAATTAGATTACCTGACTTTAATAAGAAAATAAATCTAATTGTAGCCTATAGGACTGTGCTACAGTATTTGAAATGTTTATATTCACATGCTATCATGGAGGAATCTTGAGGGAAATGGAGAAAGCCTAAACTCAGTCCTGACAACCTCTCCACTATATTTTAGTATAACCATCCTACTTAGAGCCTTGAGAGAAGTGGGCTGTTATAACTAGCAGGAACTGATTTAGTGTTTTTGTGTTTGTTAGACTTCTTTTAACTGGTATTAGAATATTTACAGTTTTTTAAAGCATCCTGATCTCGATGTGAGTGTTTAGTTTGTTTCATACTGTAATGTATGAAACTGAATGTTGTCCAGGTGGATCCTAAGGCAGTGGTTCCCAGCCTTTGTTCTGAGAGGCTTTAAATCCTACATTATAGCGCAGAAACACGACTATGGTAGAACTTTTCATTCAGTTTCCAACTGTCCCAGGCTTCCTTTGGTCAAGAACAGCGACTGCCAAAGACTGCCTAGTTAGTCTCTGATGACCCGTGAATGTGATGTTTGTAGTAGCCCGTTTTCGACTTTTTGAATAATCCTGAAGATTTGTGGTTCTGATTGGGAGATATGGCCCTGAATGATTTCTATCTGCCACAGAATGTCTGTGGCAGATAAACTTTGGGCATTTCAGGAAAAAATACATCAGTCAGAGGTGCGGATATGCTTCGATGTGAAACGGTTTAAACTGCGACAATACTTCTTAAACAGAAATAATGATACTCAAAATGGTGAAATCTGATGTTATGGGACTCCTTAATGGGAACCACTGCCCTAGGTGGTGAACACTTGCACTTATTAGTCTTGGTATTGGAGACCATAGGATAATAATACTCAGTTACCTTAGAAAAGATTTGAAAAATTCTCCACCTGACACTGCTTTAAATCTGCACAAGAGCTCATTTTGTTTTTCTTTCAACTCCGAACAGCCAAGAGATGGTGGCCTGTGTTAGAGTGGATGTCAGCCCCGAATCACCCAGGGAGGGCTCCAGTGCCGAGACCTTCCTGTGAAAGAGGAGGGCCCCCCCCCCCCCAGCCCTGTCCCCCCCAGACACGTGTCGGACGGGTAAAGCGAACTCTGAACTGGAGCAGCACGGCTTCTCTGCAGAGCTTCTCTCCCCCTCCAGGGAAATAAAAAGCTTCTGCATGGCTGTGAGTCCAGCTTTAGGTCATACATACTCAGCACTTGTACAAATTTCTGCCACGATGCACCGTATTACATAGGGATGAAGGAATTCTGCAGTTACTGCCCATCAACGCTCACTGTTTAGGAATTCTCTCAGCCCACCCGTTTCGACCACAGATGCCAAAGAAGGAGCCTCACTGGTGGGGGATCTTGGACTGTGTGGCCTAAGATGTTGTTTGTTTTGATTTTAGTTTACATTAGCTGGTGCTTTTTCTTTCTATGTTTTTATTTGTGTGCGTTTGTGTGGGCTGATTTATGACCTTCCGCCAAACAGCAACAGTTTTAGCGAAAGCCTTTTAAGTACTGCCAGCGTCAAGACGGAGTCATTGTGGAGTCATTCTGGAGCTGTTGGTGCGCAGTAAGCAACACAACCCAAAACAGCAGGGCACTGGGACACCACAGCACCAGCGCTTGTCGTTGGGTGGAGGTCTGCCGCCTAAGGGGAACGGCCGGTGTTGACAGTGCTGCTTAAGGGTTTGTAAGCTGTTTCCTCCACACAGCTCACGTTTGATAGCGTTTGTGGACTTGAAGTATCTTAGTAAGTTTCCTGTACCCATTGGATTTGTCACGCAGATAAAAACCTACTTCGGAGGCCATATGAAGTCTGTATTTTACAGTAAGCACTTTGCCATTAAAGCTCGTGACCTGAAATAGATTGTATTGCGTTTATGAAAAGGTAACGTCCCCCTCCAACTATTTCTAGAGATGTTCAAAAACAACTCAGGAATATTGAAGGGTTTCTGACCGTGCAGCAACTTCCTGCCCACTGTATTTTCCTCAGATATTTTAACGACAAAGAAAACGAATAGAAGACTTTAGGCCATAGGCTGAAGCTCAAAATGTGGCTAGAAATAGGATTTCGCTCCACTATCCTGGGGACTACTTTTCGATAGCACTTTTCCAATCTTGAATATGTACTGGAGCTGGGAAAAAAAGTTCTCCATGGGATTCCTGCCAGTATTTGAGAAAATGGGTGCCAAAGGTGGCAGTTTACCCAAAAAAGTGACGATTTTGGGTCTTCTACCATTTTCAAACCCTTGTAACTTTTTTATTATTAAGCCGATCGTACTCAAATTTTTTATTCCCACAGACATTCATACTTACTCTGAGCTTCTAAAGCGGCAATGTTCTGCGTGCTTTAAGTACGGAGTTATTCTAAATGAAAACATAAAGTTTTGAACAACTTCACAATCTCCCAAAATGTATCTTTATTGCAAATTAAAACTGCAATTCTTTGAATTTTCAATTGAAAAATTCTAATAGCAAGATATCCCTTTGTGTCTGGTTAATTAATAACTATGAAAAGTGGTGTGAATTTTATCACCTAGCAAACCAGTTACAATATAGGCCATAGGCTGAAGCTCAAAATGTGGCTAGAAATAGGATTTTGCTCCACTAACCTGGGGACTACTTTTGATAGCACTTTTCCAATCTTGAATATGTACTGGAGCTGGGAAAAAAAGTTCTCCATGGGATTCCTGCCAGTATTTGAGAAAATGGGTGCCAAAGGTGGCAGTTTACCCCAAAAAGTGACGATTTTGGGTCTTCTACCATTTTCAAACCCTTGTAACTTTTTTATTATTAATGCGATTGTACTCAAATTTTTTATTCCCACAGACATTCATACTTACTCAGAGCTTCTAAAGCGGCAATGTTCTGCGTGCTTTAAGTAAGAAGTTATTCTAAATGAAAACATACACTTTTTAACAATTTCGCAATTTCCCAAAATATATATTTATTGCACATGAAAACTGCAATTCTTTGAATTTTAAATTGAAAAACTCTAATATAAAGATATCCCTTTGTGTCTGGTTAATTAATAACTATTTAAAGTGGTGTGAATTTTATCACCTAGCAGACCAGTTACAATATTGGAAGCAAAATTTTCGGAAATAACAATAAAAACTAGAAGAATCTTCAAGTAAATTTATACTGTTTATTCAATGGATCTGATATCAACTTAAGCAATCATGGAATTAATGAACAAATAATAACAAAAATAATAGTAACAACCCCCCCCACCACCACCACCACCACTCCATTCCCACACCAACAAGAGTTACTTCTTCTGTTTGTTGCAACATTTATGAATATTTACAGAGAGAATTAATCATCTTCAGAAAAACTGAAAGAGAATAAGAAGCCTACATATAATTTTTCAATTACTTTTGAACAATTCTGCCAAGCACTAAGCATGCCAAAGTTGATATCTCCCAAATTTTATACATATATAATTATAAAGACCGATTCTAACCATTTATAAATCTCCACTCTGTAACTATTGACAAATGGCAATAGCAATGATAACATGATTTTGAAAAGGGGTAAAGTTTTCAGATGCCTCATAACAATAGGAATAATAATAATCATAATTATTGATTATTTATAAGAACAATGGAAAGTATTAATATCACAACATTAAAAAATTAACTCTTATTTATAAGCTACAAGATTGTTTTTTTCACATTTACTACTAAATTCAGTTTACTATGGACTAATATTCAAATTAGTTTTCAGAAATGAAATGGTTTCAATCAGCTAACCCGTGGGTTGTGAATTCACTCCTCTGAGGCAAGACTTAATATGGAAATGTACAGGGAATTAAAGAAGGCACAAAGACATTTCTGTTTTTAAACAATTACTTTTGTTGGACCCAGCAAGCCTTGAGATGTTAAACTTTTTAGGATCACTTCGGGTTGTTACGACTTGAGAATTACAATAGAAAACACACAGAAACTATGAATCATCAAAATCATAGGAGGGATAAGAGTCTCCTCCTATCACTTCCTGCAGGTGTTCCTAGAGCTGTGGAGTCTGGATCTGTGGTTGGGAGTTTCCTGCTGCTCCGTGTTCCTGCTCTGCTACTACTCTGCATAGTGTTATTTCTGTCATAACTCCTATCATTATCATTAGTATCAATATACATAAAATTGAATTGAATTGAACTTTCTTTGTAGCACCGTTTGTGCTACCGGACTTCAATTGCGACACAATCTTTTCCACGTACATCCTTGAGGATGGATTCGTCCATTTTCACTTCAGCTGCATTAACCAAACTCCCTAGCAAAGAGAGAGTTAAAGTTCAATCATAAACCAGCTGCCAACAAATAATATAAAATACATTTTCTCTCTTTTACCAGACTAAACTGGTAGTTGGGTGACAAATTTAAAATCTAACCATTCTTTGACAAATCAATTAATTGCCTATCATCACTTCAAGTTCATAATAATGCCTTTTATTATTATTGAGGCCCTACACATAGCCTTCATACACCTACTTCATAATAATGTGAGAAGGCTAGGGCTGGCACCAATTACACATGCATTTTTTTTTACCAACAAATGTATTACTTTAGCTTTTGATTATAAGCCACAAACAAAGATGCTGTCTGCAAATTATCTAATCACCAGCATTTATAGTTTCTGCTTGGACCAATTTACCTTTCTTTGTCTTGTGTCCCTCCGCCAACGTGCGGTCAATTCCGTCAATACACTTACGGGAAAGTACGACCAGCTTCTTCCACGAACAACTGTTAGTGGCTGTGTTCGTTCTTTGTCTACCGATTATATGTGTGTGATGCACATATAATCCTCATTTGTCTTGCGTTTTCTGTCTGATCAACGGGAATGCACTGCTCCACGGGAGCAGCCATGTTTGTTGTTGTTCTTCTGTTCTCGCCTCTGAATGGGAGAGCGTACCTGAAGGACGCGCTCTGATTGGCTGACGGCTAGGCGGCTTGATTCGAGCGTACTTTACCGGTGTGATCAGGCTACCGATATAGTTACATTTTTAAGTAATTATTGTAAAAATACTGGCGCAAAGCGATTGGAGAACTTTTGGTTATGAGCTCAAAATGCACTAAGGATTTTTTTGCAGGTGTCATTTAGTAGTCCCTCAATAAGTGGAGCGAAACTTAACGATACAGGCTTCAGCCTATGGCCTACTTGCTATCCCAGTGCGTGGCACCTGTTTTTATACTGTGCATCATTGTGAACATCTGTGCGTGTGGTATTCCAATAATTTGATATGTCTCGCGTTGCAAATAAATTTATGCAAAACATTTCTACCGTGTAAGTAAAAGCTATAATAATCGAGGAGTTTTGATCGTATTTTTTGCTGAGTGCAGTCATGTTTTAGGCAATAAGTATTCCATACGGTCCAACGTCTGGACCCCTGAACTCTTATTAACGTTCTGGCAAAGAATATTTTGTGCAACTGTTGTGTGTCTGTTTCTTTTGTGTGTAGCGACTCTATGAACAATAGCTTACGTGCCTTGTTGGAGCTCTTTCCGTGTGTGTCGTGCTACTGAGTGTGGAAGTGTCCAGAGCAGACGTGCAGGTTCACAGGACAGCCGCCTGTCCACGGCTCTGCTTCCAGCCGCCGTCGTGTCGTCCCACCTCTCTGTGAAAACTCTAACCCGAGCCACCACCTCCAGAGCTGTACTTGGACTTTTCTTCCGTTTTCGGCTGTATCAAAATGCCGTTTATCGTGTGTGTGTGTGTGTGTGTCTCTGTGTTCTGCCGTCACATCTCTAGTAGTTGCTCACCACATAAACACAGAGTACTGAGGTGCAGATTCTTGTTCGAATAACTAGTGAATGTCAACTCGTCGTGCCGTCAATGTCAAAAGATGGAGAAACATTTATATTTATTTATCTAGAAGAAAAAAAAAAAAGGAAACATAGTTGTGGTGTATTTCTCTACACATTGACCATAGTGAGCGTCACAGAGGCACTTAAATGTTCCAAATGATATAGTTTATGTTGATGAACAAAGGCCCTATTTTCACATTACTGGTCTTATTCAAGTGTCATTTTTAATAAAGGCTATCTGCAGCAAAAGTGGGTCGACCTCCAAGACCACCGAATGGAAGTGTGTCCCTGCTGATGAACAGACCATCAGTGAAACACTTAGCAGGATGTTGGTCGCTAGATGACTTTGTTGTCATGGCTGAATGTTGCAAAGCAATAAAATGAATTTCTTGAGACTTTCCCTGTTGTTATTTTTCCCTTAAATGAGATAGACCCACCCACCCAGCCTGAGTAAATGGGGATGAGGAGATTCATTTAAATTGAAGCACCACTTCTCACTCTTCCCTCCCGCTGGTCCATTGGAAATTCACACACATTTACCTAATCCTGTGTTTCTCTTTGACCTACTACTGAAAACACTCTTCAGCCCCAGCAGAAGGCTTCAAGTTGTAGTGTAAAGCGTTGGGTGATTTGCTTCCAGAAGGACTGCGAGCTGACGCTGAGTATCCACAGCAACCATCAGAGTTGGGTTGAAGGTTCATGTGTACTCCGGCTGAGAATGCCTCTTTAATTACAAAGTAGCTCATTCTTTAATGTTTATATCTAAAATGACTTGGTGGTTTTCTTTTAATCGAGTAGTATGCCAATTGGCGAATTTAAAAAAAAAAAAGCAATACTTCACCATTTAGATATATATTCTACATAGTGGAATCTTTCAGGAGGAGAAAGATGTCAATGAGTAAAGACACAAGATATCTGTAAATACAAAAGGTGGCAGTAGAGATCTCTATTTGGAAGGCAAGTACAAGAAGCATTTGGAGCTTAATGTGCATCTTCTTTTGCACTGACATACCCTTTTGTTAAACTTCTGAAAGGCTGGGGTTTCACTCCTCTGAGGACTGTTTGATAACCGCTGGCACCCATTCTTCATTTCTCTGTTAATAGCTGCAGGTGCTGCAGGTTCAATCTTTTGGTGTGAATAACTTGGGATAGTTTGGAAAACATAACTTTCAGTCACTCATGTCTGAGTGTTGATAAGGTATGAGCCTTCATCAAATGCACGATGAGTCTGTGATGCCACTCGGGACATAATGTCCTCCACCAGCAGCCATGAGGAGCGGCAGAGGCCGGCCTGAACTGCAGGTTCTCCAACTTCGTCAGCTTCCCGTTTAAACACATGCAAAGACCTTGGTTTGACAATGTGCCAGGGGGCAAGTATGTGCAAGGGGGAAGCATTTAGAGCTAAACCTGTTCAGCTTAAATGTCACACACAGGAAACTACGTCAGAGAAAAGGTTACATTTATTCCATTCTGAAGGTCCTCCAATCAATCATGCCCAACGTTACATGTCCATGGTAATACCAGCAGCTCCTCTCCATCATTTGATTTCATTATCAAGTTTTACTCATTTTCCTCAAATCTCTTCACCAAACCTGAAGATATCGACACAGCACCGTCTTCGAACTCCAACTCGCACGGCAGCCGTACGAGTCTGCACAAAGTCACAGAATAAACTATTAAAAGGGAAGTTCTGCCCACCGATTAAGGTCATTCAGTCAGCTCTCGTGTCGCAGTTTGGAGAGACATATAGCAGCACTCATCTACGTCACGTGACAACACTACACCGGGTGGAGCTAAAGAAAACATGAACATTACGGCACCTTAACAGTGATAGCAGCCACCGCTTCCACAAACTTAAGAGTTGTGATGTTTTGCCTACCTGAACTCTGCGTCATGGCAGTGCCTCACGTAACAACAGGAGCTTAAAAACAAAGAAAAGAAGGGCCTCCTTTCTACGCCACAGTTTTAAATCCATGATCAGCATAGCGCTGGTTTATATCTCAACACAATCCAAACGTGCTCAGACATAAATGATGAACTTTTGGACCAAACTCACTCCCGTGAGTTAATACAGATGCTACAGGTTCGACATTTGTTCATTAAAAAAAACTCTTGTTTTGTGGCCCTTTAAAATGTCTTATTTTAATACAAACACCATTGCCAAGGCTCACTACAAACCAATCAAAACTACATGAACAAATTTAGCTTCTTCCCACAAAAAATAAGCTTCAAGATGTCAAACAAGAGTAGTGCTGTTTTTTACTGCGTCTAACGTGGCGCTGCTAGCTATCTTTGTACGTAACAGGTAGAATCGTGTTTGTGTTGTTTGACAGCTTGAAATGCTTGGAAGCGGAAACGGGCGATTGAGCTCCCTAAAACGACTCTTTTTGTCTGGCATCGGGTTGGATCGGTCGCCTGTGATTCGTCTCGCAGGGTGGACTGCTGGAAAGCATGCGCTCCCACAGAGGCAGTTTGCCCAAACGGGCGGGAGCTACGCTTTCCCTTTAAAGACAACACGCCTTCAGGAGGGCAGTGGCTGGTGGGGCTGGACGCTCAGTTAGCGGCGTTGGGCGGCCCCTCGGGGATGAGCGACATGAAGAATGTTATGATGAATGACCACGTGGAGGAAAAGAAGCCTGCGTGAGGGCCGCTGTTAGCGTCCTCAGCCACTTCCTCCCCACTGTCCCCGTCATCGTCAGAGCCTTCATCGTTCAGCCCTTCCTGTTTAGAGAAGGTAAACAGGAGAGCCACATGAGAAAAAACTTCTACTAACATTATTCATGTATAGATATTTTTATATTTCTAAACCTTCTTATCTGCATTTCGGGGGCATTAATTGATCCGACTTTCTACCTAATGTGGGTCCTTTGTAAGCTAAAAAACAATTGTTTTTTCAACTCCACTAAAACAGTGATTAGTAATCAGGCAAGATGATAAAATAGCCAAACAGGACTGCCATCTTTCCTTCTACCTACTGTCACTTTATTACAGAGTCTTGACGTTACCATTTCTTGCAGGTCTTGGTTCTGCAGGTCTCCCTCCATGTCCTCCTGATTGGCTCCGTCTCCAGGAAGTTGGAGTTCGTTCTCCAGATTAAAGGGAAACCAGCCAGCCTGGTGTCTGCCGTCAGGAAATATGAAAAACTTTACAACTTCACCATGACGCAAGGTAACGACATAATGTGGACTCACACTTCTGTATAGAAAGCAACTACAGAGGCCCATAATAAGCAGTGATCCAGAAAGAGTGGCGATAGCTCTGCAGCACCCTCTACTGGGCTGAAGCAGGAACTGCGAGACAAACAGCTAAAGCTCATTTTGAACATTTTACAGTTAAAAATAGTTTATTTGGCATCTTTTCCGGTTCCTGTCCCTACTCCCACTGTCTTCTAGTATCCAGGCAATAATTGTTTTAGAAATATATCTTTGGAAAAAAAAAGAAAATAACTAAATTAAGTTACTGTTACCATGTGAACCTAAAACTGCTACTTTAAATGGCAGCGAGAGATGAACTGAATGATGAAACCATATTCTTGTAGCCCTGGTTGTGGTACTCTACTAAAACGAACAAACACTCACAGGTACAGCACCAGCATGGCCACCATGACCATGACAAAGCGGCTGAAGGAGGAGTAGAAGTAGACGATGCTAAGTAAGATGGCAGCGCGTGAGAATGTGTACACCCAGTCCAGCCAGTCCCTGTTCAGATCCTCTTCATTCATGATCTCCCCACCTTGGGCGTTCATCTGGACTTCTGGGTTTCCGTGGCGACCCCCCTGCGGTCGCCGACTCATTGGCTCGGGCTGGTCAAACTGACCGGAGGGCAGGTCGGGCCTCAGGTGCTGAGAGGAGGCAGCGAGCAGGTGACTGGAAGAAGGGAGAGCAGACAGGGGTAAAGCGGGAGCACCTGCGGGGGAAAAAGGTTTCAATGGAAACGAGACAGAAACATGAACACTCACTAATGCATGTAGTACTGCCTGGCATACAGCTGCTGCCACCACATCACTGTCAAGGGGTTGTAATAAGTGGGCATGTTTGTGGGAAGCGTAGGCTGGGAGTGCTGACTCCAGCTAAAACAAACAAGAACAAAACACAATGCATTACAACAAAAAAAACTTGATAATTCACTCGTACATGGCTCAAGAGGAAAACGCTGCATAACTGAGTGACAGGACGCCTGGAGTGAACAGGAGCAAGTTTTCCTTTAGACACGTCAGTGATTGAAAAGCCCTAATTGCCCGCTGTGAGCATCAGTGACGCACGAATACCTGCACCTCACTGTGAATCACGTTTTCTCCCGATTTATTACTAGCTGAACTCAAACTCTACCACACAGTTCAGGGTGTTCTACTGCAAAAAAAAGCATGACTTGACCATCATGGATTCTCATCATTCATTTGTTCACTCCTCTTTTTTCGTCACTGTAAAGAGGAGAAAAGAAAAACGTCAGCCTATCTGAACTGAAAAAAACAAACAACTAAACTCACAGCATATTTTCGCCTCTCTTTACCACTTCTAACAACAAACCATAATCTTTACAGAAAAGATGTCAATTCAAAGGTATATGGAAAAGCAGGATGGGGTAAATCTACATCAAGATGGAAAGGATTCAAACAAATAAGAAACTGTCTAAATACTAAGTAGACAAACAATAACGTTAAACTGTTCAGGATGGAAGGCCATTTAATGGATATAAAACAACCTATTTATGCCCAGAGAAGCCCTGCGTTCCTTATGTTTCCGTTTTGCAAAGTGACTTTGGTATTGTTAACTAACAAAATATTGATGTTTAGAGTTTTCCACTGACATTTCCATTTTTCACTGTGAAAGAACGGGATGTGATGTGTTTGTACAGAGAAAAACCTTTTTAATCTCATTGAAATGATGGAAGTGTGGGTGTCTGTTTAAGTTGACATGACCAGCTTGGCTAGGGGTGTTTCAGAGTGATGTGAAACACCTCCAGAATCCTGAAAACAAAGCACTCACTCACTTAAAGCCAATCGGACCTCTGTGTTTTTTCACAGAGCAAAAAGCTGGCCATCTCTTGTTCTGTCTGTTTAATGTGAGCGGCTATGCAAATCTGACAGCAGTCATTTCAAATGTTCTGATATCAGGTTGGAGAAAATGAAGTGGTGACTTGGATAGCAGGTTGCGTGTCTTTAAGAGGAATGACGCACCGCTCAGTTTGATAAATCACCTAAAGGTGAGAAGTCATTGATAGTGTTTCATTCTTTTGAATGTAAAATCCTTCTGCTGCTGGACTGCGTCGGCTTGCTGACGTACTATTTGCGTCTGCACTGCAGTGCTTATCAAAGTTTCAGCAGTCCACAAGCCCACCTGTGCATAAACTGAGGATACATCTGTTGGTAAGGGAAAGGTCCACCGTGCTGTCCGAGTCCACCGCTGCTCTCTCCTGCAGACGACTGCACATCCTGTCTGGGGCTATTTGAGTTTTGTGCACTCTGTTACCAGACAAAAAGTAATCAATGTTAGTATTAATCCCTTAAAGAAGGAGACATGATTTTAAATCCTCAGGGAGGTGTAGATTACAGAAATGAGGTGGATGACGAAAGGAAAGGTGATGATGAAATGAGTTGAAAGGTGTGAGGGGTATGTGGCCAACGCACCGTGGGAGCGGCGGCGCTCTCCTGAGGCTTGTTACTGTGACTGCGGGGTGGCTTTGGGGAGCTGGGAGGGGTTCGCGAGGCGCACACCAGATGGAGCATATGGTACTCATCCTGCTGTGGAAGCCAACACAGCTCATTACCTCACAATGTCCAAGTATTGCGTGTTCTTTGGGACTTTGTGAATGTACTTTCCGAACACAGAACACTTCAAAGCCCTTCTACATCCACTTTAGATGATCACTTTCCTAACTGAATGTTAAAATTTGAATTACATCAATCGTTTCTGGTTAACATTGGCTGATAACGATACCTAAAATCCATTTTCTCCGTAAAATGCCACCCTGAATAAGGAAAACCTGATTCCCTGTTTAGATATACACCAATTGTATGGCTGATTTTGCATGGCTCCAGGGTGCAAGCAGCTAAACCTGACAGATGCCATTCCACTTCATTTCCATCTACTCAGCGGCATTTACTCTCTCTAATAGATTCATCCCTTTTTGGTTGACTTAATTGTGAGCAGCAAAGACCTCATCAGTTTCTGTGTATGCGTCACAAAGCTGCCGGCCCTATTACAGCTATCCACTGTGTGTACTGCTTTATCTGCCGGTAGTGTGCTCCAAATATAGAAAGTGTGATCCAAGTAACATTTTAACAAACGTGAAAATAGAGCACGTTTTGGATAAAAACCTAAAAAATACATGTTTGTTTTCTTTGTTAAATTGTGTGCCTTCAGGCCACAGTACACTACAAAAACACACAAATATAGCAATGTTAAAAGTTACTTTTCTTATTATTATCATTTACCTTTATTACCATAAATTTTCTAATACTTTATAGAATTATAAATATCACAATCTTCTAGTTAAAAAAGTTCCTCCACAGTGGCAAGTTTAAAAGCTTTTCCACAAAGCTTTTCTGTTGATTTGAAATAAGGGATTTCCTTCCACACGGCAACAAGTGCAGAACAATTGCATCATTTTAGTTTTGTGCTTTGTATTAGCTGTGGATCAAGTGCACAGGGACCACCCTGCTGTGGTTGAAAACCTTGGCTTAAAATAACTTACCTTCCTGAGCACATCTTTTAAGGTAAAGTGATCCAAAAGTAGTTTTCCAGAATATACCAGCCGCTGGTCTTTGGAGCTCTAAAAATACAAAAGATTGAGAATGAGGCCAATGGAGATAATTTGTGAAGTGATGAGTGCATAGAATGTAGGTTACATTCTACGTATATTCTGGGCCTGTGTCATTAAAGGAACAAGTTTAGAAAAAATCTGAAACAAAAGGGAATTAAAAAAAAAAAACATATTGGAAAGATAAATTCAAGTTGTACTTTTTCATTTGAAATGATCAGAGCATCAAAGGCCAGGCGGCTTGTGTAAGTAATGAGGATGAGATAGTAGTAACCTCAATCGGGATAAGTGAGTCTTAGCAATGGATTTAGCTGTGCGTACAACAAGGTCAACCGGTGTCCTAATTAAGCCTACATTCATTCAACAACCATTCAAAAAGTTCCCTTAGATCATAGCTAACCCAAAACCAGATTATTTTTCCACAAGTTATCTCATTGTTTGATACACCACAGATAATGTGCACTAAGAATACTAACAAAAGTACATCCCTTAGTCAGATTAAAGCTTTAGGAGGGAGCAGCCTGCCCCTGTATGTTTACAATGATTGCATCAGGACAGAGAGGAAAGGGAACAAACTCAGATTAGCAGAAAAATACCACTGGAATCTGAAAACCTGTTGTGACATCAAATGGACACACTTCAAGGCGCAGACCTCCACAGATTATATCTGCGCTCTACAACAATTAAGGATTACAGTAATGTGAATGACAAAGAAAGCTTTGCAGAGTTCACACAGTTGTGTAAATTCCGCAAAACAGGTCAAATTCGAAAGAACCAAATAATTCTATTTCTTCTTCACTGACTTATAATTAATGAGAGCAAAGCTCTAACACTACCAATCATTTGGTTTAAACCCAACAAATGTTATCTCATGATGGATCCTGTCAGACATCCGGATGACTTAGCTGACAATCAGATATGCAATTTATGCTTGAGATTGTGAGTAGGAACATTTACATACTGTAAGGTTAGTCTCTATAAAAACACTTGTCCATGCTTGTCCGTGCAAACAAACATACTCTATCTGATGCAAGAGTTAATAAGGGATTTGGGTCACAAAAAAGCATGAAATTTATATAAAAAACTAAACAGAAAATAATCTTAAAACCTCAAACCCGTGTTAAAGTTTCATGATCCGTGTGAATTACTCACAGGTTTACTGGGGTACACATCAGAGAGGTGGGCTTTCAGTTTCTCCACGGTCCAGTTTTGGTAACAGTTGATTGTCTGGTCATTGTACTTTTGGTTGGGGGCCCTGATGACAAGGGTTACAGGGTTGTCCAAAACCGTTTGATCCATCTCTCAAAACCATCTGTCTTCAATGAAACGTGAAATGAGATCTGGAGTTCTGCTACCAGTCCAAATGGCTTTCTAGCGGGTTTCTGCCACCATTGCAAAAAGCAATAATGCGTCCCTTTATGTTGTGCAGACACAGCTAGACACTGGAAAGTGAAAAAAGAAATAGAAGTTAATATAGCTGTAATAACTAAGCCGTTTTCTCAAGTAAAGGCATGAAATATGAATATAACCAAAGGGTTACTTGTTTGCGGTATGTACCATGTCATTAGTAAAGGTATTATTGACAACATTAACAGCTATCTAAATGGTTAAACCATTTAGTCAAACCCCCATGTAAATAAAGAAGAAACGTTAAAATGACATAGAAACAGAATACACTAAACCATCGCTATTTCTAGACGGGGGGTTTAACAACTAGCAAAACTAGCATTAGCTTCAGTATTTTTCTAATAATAATTTTACAAGAACCAGATGGAGGAATTTGTCACCATGCACATCGAGTTAAGCATAATAAAAAAGACCTAGCTATAAGAAAATGCTCACTCAAAGCTTTCCAGCACCTAGTTTACTTACCTTGTTTATCCCCAGTGACCGAAATGTTACTAGCGCCGCTTGTTACTCCCAGACTGCCCTTCTTCTTCGTTGGATATTAACTGGAATAGTTGGACGGTTGCTGTCATTAAACATCACTGTTAATTACTGCCACCCTCTGGATAAAAGTGTTCAAAACAATCAGAATTAATTCAACCTTGCACTTCTATTCTTTTTTAAACACAGAGAAATCTTCAACTCAAAAAGCAACAAATCAAATTAACGAACAATTTTTAATGTGAGACAAAAAAATAAATTAAACTAGTTCCTTAAACTCAAAGATTTCCAGTGACCAATCTTTTTGATCGGTGACAACATGGGAAAGAAAAAGAAAAACAGTATAAGATAAAATGTTGATATTATTTTTTAATCAATACCATCATTATTATTTATATTGCAGTTGTTGTTATTTATCTATACTTATTTCTTTTTTGCCTGTGTAATTCAAATGAAAGGAAGAGAAATTACGTTTTATTTTTTATTTAAATACAAAAACGAACAATCGCAAACACAATTAGGGAAAACATCTGAAAGTTTATTGTATATTTATATATATATATATATATATATATATATATATATATATATATATATATATATATATATATTATTCATTTGTGATTAGTTATCTGATTTGGGACATGTACAAGTCTGCTCTCTTGACCCTTACTTCTCTTTTCCTCAACATATTTTCAAAAAATCTCTCTTTTCTAAGTTTGTATGATTTCTTTTGATATAGAGCTTGTTATAAAAGCACTTTTTTTAAAAGAAAAAGGAACATTCAATGCACCATGTGAACTCACTCTATGAATCATACAACCAAGGACTTCCTGCAATAAAACAGAAGGTTAAAGTACTTTCCATCTGACGTGAATCGTGTTTTTTGACTGCTAACAATGTTGAGTGGATGCAACAATTTGACAGGATGAAATACACGGTTTAGCAATAATTCATCTTCTATAATGGAACTACAACAGAGATACCCATTTTTACCTGTTTTTCTCTTAATGCTTGTATCCATCAATCACCCTGTTGCACAAAGGGATGTTTTTCACAGCTTGCTTAAATATAGCCATTAAAATAAGGGACACTTCTTACTCACAGCCCACTGTTCGGAAGTGAAAAGCTGAAATGAGTTGCATGGTGGCATGCAATCGCCAAGTATCTCTCTACTAATTTGTAACTGTGATAATCACAAATATGGATTCTTCTTCATATGACATCTCAAAAAGAAAGAGGAAAATATGTTTTAGTCTAATCAAGAATTCCTCAGTTTTTCTTCATTCAATTTCTATCCACTGGAAAAATGTCAGCCTGCTTTCAGAAACGTCAGAGAGCTTCCTGTGACCTGCTATAGTCTGGTGGGGAAACTCCTTAGTTAAGAGGTTACTACTTCACCACATAATGATCAGTAAACCAACTTGATTGACTGGCACTTTGCTTCCACTGCTAAATGTTGACATTGTTCTGATCTTTCTACAGGAAGTTTCACTACTAAAACAAAGAATTGGACTCAAAATTCAACGGGACAGCACAACACGTGAAAATTAATGAAAAGCAAGGCCTTTGACTCATAATGGCTCCAAAGCGTAGCCGATCAGACGGCCATGAATTCTGTACAACCTTTGTTATTTGATCAACAGGAAGCATAAATAACGGTTGTATGAAAAGTTAAGACAATGGTTTTTACATAAAAAACCCAAATATAACCCTACCAAAGGTTCACTCAATACTGCGTCATTGTGGCTTTTGAGAAATTGCCCTTTAACATGTCTGTGGTGTGAAAAGCTATTATCTATGCAACAATGCAGTGGGCTTTCCTTTTCTGTCGAACTAAACAGATTCAGAATCCCCGTGCCCCCTCCGTTTTTAATGAGTGCCTCCAAAAGTGACTCACTGGAGTGAAAAGGTCCCTGATTGGAGGAGGTTTTAATTAAGTGCTAACTGTGCAGTGTGTGCAGTTTATCCAGTGTATACAGAGGTCTATCCCTCTTACTGCTTCTGAAGGTCTGAAAAAGCTTAACTAATACTTTTTTCCACTGAGATTTACATATTGCCTGTTGTAAATGTACCACAGTAGCTACGGAGGTTGTGACCTTCACAGGAAATGCATGTTGTTACCAAATCAACAAAGCAAAATCTCTCCTATAGTCTGAATCTGTAAAAATCTTGTGTTCAATGCACATATCTGTTATGTGAAAGTGCTGGGTCCCGTGCACATTTTATAGATAACTCTAAAGAAGTACAACCTTCGTAAAATGAATAAGATGGACTGAATATATTTACTGATCGGACCTTGTTCGTTGCTCTTAAAGAACTATTCCACTTTTTGTAGTGGCATAAGTCATACCTCTCACAGTTTTCATGGATGTTGGGTGCGGGGTCTGGTGCCTCCCTGTGCTTGTATAACCCCACAATATTTTACATTAAACATTTGTACTTGCATAAATGAAAAATAAGTAAAACTGCAGTTAAAGTTTGCCATATACAGTTATTCAATTTATCATGTCATAATGTGACGAAACTACAGAAAATTCAAAGAAGCGGAGAAAATTCTAGCAGTGGACATGATAATGTTTTGTGCAATGAGACATTTTACAGGGCCAATATTAATGACTTAGTTCGGTCAAATGCTCTAAAACTTAGCAGCCTATTTATTTAGTGGCATTTTCTACCTCAACACTACACAGGAAGAATGATCGTTTTATCTGATGACGTATGTCGTCCATGAAGTCTTGGAGAAACGTTTGGACGAAAAAATACGAATAAATAATGCATGAACTAAACAAGAACAGACCAAAAAAGAAAACCTTGGTGTTTTTCGTCTCCGTTATTATCAGTGCATCCAAAGCATGCGCTAAAAAATTCAGTCAGTGGCGCCAGCATCTGCTGAGACGTCTCGTTTTCTGCCTGCAGTGTGGGCTTTTAGATGAAAGTTCTCGGTGGGCTGCGGTTCTGCTGTGCAGTACAAGTCTGTACTGACAGTGTTATGAGTGCTGTGCTATGAAGAAGTTGCTCGTACTTCACTTTGTTACAACTTCTACTGACGTCAGAGCCTGCCTGATCAGGATTCACTGTGTGCAGCTCAGTTGTCTATTTTGCTGGCACAAACTGCTGCATTTTCTTCAGCTGTACGCCTGCTCAGGCTGAACGTTTTTGCGTTTATCTGATGCTGCATTTGAGTTTTTTCAACAATATAGGCGCAGCTATGAATGCTCTGTAATTGTGGTGACTTTATAAATGATCTTTAGCTCAGGATTTCAATGACACAATTTTTCTAATGGTGCTGCTTTGTTGTTTTTTTCATGCTATTTGGCCTTTTGCGTGTGAATCATTCATAATTCATCAAGGAAAGCAGCAATTTGGTCAATGCTGTCATTTTCAGCTAAGTAGGTTCTGAAGCCCTTCTGTGTCACTCATGACAGGGCCTGCAATTAATGACTCAGTAATGGGCAAAAGGTCTCAGCCAAAGCTCTGGGTTTGACGGTTAAAATGTCATGTGCGGAGTGTACAGAGGAGGACCCAGAGGAGGACCCAGAGTGAGGAGGTGGATGACAGGGAACTGGTAGCAAGTCTGGAAAAGCCTGATTGCTAAAAAAACAAAAAAAACGGAACAAACAAACTGAAAACTTTCTTAAAATGAATAATTGATAGAGAAAGATAGAAAGCAAGGATATAAACCGGGAAGACTGCTTTAACTCAGCTTAGTCTCCAGCCCTCAAAACACTGAATAGGAATAAGAAGGTGGAAAAAAAAGACAAATAGTTATTTTGTGTTCCCATATAGTGTAGATATAGATGAATTTGAGAAAAATGGCAGGCTAGTAAAGGAATCAGCCTTTGATGATTGAATCCTATTTACAAGCATTTCAAATTCTTGTAACTGCAGGAAGTTTTGAAATAGAAACAAGGAGATATAGTCAAGGTTGTCTAAAGAAAAATAAATTTTTTCTAAACAACAGCTATGGAATAATCTATAACCTACCAAATCATGCCTCAGAGCCTTTTCAAAAACCTGTTGCTCACACTGGGTGGCAGTATGCATTCATTTTACACCAAAATCAAACCAAGTTATGACAGCAGTCAACCTTATTTCCTGCACCCAAACACCCAAGGTGTTCAGAACCCATTCAAGATTAATACATTAATGATTAAAAATCTTTATACATGCAACTTTGCATCTAGTTGGTAGCTTTCCTTTGCACTGTCAAATCAGAGTTAACTACAAATGGCTGGAACTTCTGCAAAAAAAACAATTGTCCTGCATGCTTTAAAACTATGTCTGTAGTTGCAGAAAGCTGTGTCCAAAGATTTTGCATAACTTTGCTTGTGCACTTCACAAATAAACCGAGCTAGACTTGATATGAGGGGAGTTTGAAAGAATGCATTCACCCTCTTGTTTCTTATGAGAAGAAAAGAATGTTCAGCCTTAACGATTACTGTTGAAATAACAATTTAATGCTCTTAATCTGTGATGTCACAAATTGTACTGCGGTACTTTGATTTCCTTTGTAACTAGTCCTGCTGTTTAAACACTGATTCTTTTGCAATGAACTGTAATATGACATTGATTAATTGGAGAAATCTGAAAATGGCCTTCATTTTACATCAGTATTTAAGTGTTTCAAACTAAAAACTTTTCCTTTTGAGCTGCAAAAATGTCTTACGCACTCATATATTGCCAGTATCATAAGAGAGCTGTCCCCATGGCAACAGGTTTCCTGTTGGCAGAAGCTCCATAAACAGATTTCCTGACAAGAAAAAAAAAAAAGGCAGAGGGATAGAGAGAAAGTAAAAGAATTTCTGCTTTAGAAAACATATGTACTGGGTGCTTCTGGCTTCTCTTGGCTGTGAATTTGAAATGTTTCTGAGTCATCCATCTAACTTAACGAATTTCAGGTATTTTCTATTCTCCCTGTGAGGTTTCATATTTTTTGTGCCAAGCAAGAACAAAAAGGAGGGTAGAGGCAGTCTTAAGAAGAATGATTCAGGCCTGTCTTTGAATGTAAGTGCTCTCTGCCAGCAGGAAGGGAAGATGTGCAAATTAG